TTATCTTTCACCAATTTAAGGTAAATTTTCCCTGCTAATCCTTTCCTTATTTCATCCACATATAATACCTGTTCTAAATTATTGTCTTCCCTTTTTATAGCTTCTATATACTTATCTTGTTTAATTAAATGTGATAATCCCCTTAAATTTAGCCAGTAACTTTCCCCTATTTTTTGGTTCAGCTCCTGAAGTGGTAGGAGAGTCCCTTGAGGGTTATACATATCCTTGACTCTAGTTATACCTTCCTCCTTAAGGACTTCCCAAAATTTCGGGTTCATCTCCTTCTCCCAAATATACTTAAGTGGGGTCCACTTTGAAGTTTGAGGCAACAGAATCGCCCTGCACTTCTTCCAAACCATCAAAGCTGATTTCCTTGGACCCATTGCCTTCCCTATCTCCTTTCACAAATCTCTAGTGTAGATTCCATAGCTGCCTACCCCCTTATTGATTGCAGATTCAAATCTTACCCATTTATCCTTCATCCTCCATTCCATCTCCATTAATGCCTTCAACTGAAATGTGTCATAATAAGCCCACACCACACTAACATGACACATTAAGTGATGCGAAATTCCATAGCAGGATCCCAGTTTCAACCAGCTATACACAGTACTATAGACCACTGTCCCTAACCATTTTTCCAAAGAACTTTGTGAATCATTTAGTACTGTGCAACCCTATTGCCTGTATGGAAAATCCTTCTTGAATAATTCAGTTTTGCCTAGTCTATGGAAAGCCACGAGAGTGGGAACCTTCTCTAGTGGCATCTTAAAGACTAACAACATGTATCTCTAGTAGAAAAGAGCAAGAGTCTAGTAGAACCTGAGTCTTTAAGGTGCTGCTGGACTCTTGCTCATTTCTACTGCTACAGACAGACTTGTAGAGCGTAGCGATTTCAGATATGGACAGATGGACTCACATTCTAGCCACATCCGAAGCAGTGACTCACGAAAGCCCATACCTCACTACAAATGTTGTTAGTCTTTAAGGTGCTCCTGGACTGTGGCTCTTTTCTACTGCTACAGACAGACTAACACGGCCACCCATCTTGACCTATCAACATTTATTTCCGTATGAGCTTCTGTGAGCCACAGCTCCCTTCTCCAGGCAGATATTGCAATAAATGTTGTTAGTCTTTAAAGTGCCACAGGACGTTTTTATTTTTGGGTTTTTTTTAAATTGCCATAACAGACTAACACAGCTACCCCTTTGCAACCACGGAGGTCAAAAACACCACTAGGGGAACCGCATCCCACGAAGCCTCTGTTGAAAGGACCGGGTATCTTTTTCTCCAGGCCGGTTGGCAACCTCAGCCTTACATGGCCGCAAAACAGGTGTCCTGCTGCTGCATGCCAGAGAATGGTTATTGGGATCCACGGGGATCTTTCTTCTTGTTGGTGAGATCAGCGTCTCTCTCCCCCCCCCCCCCATGCCTTTGAGCCCCCCCGGGGAACAAGAAGGCCCCCATCGAGCTGAGGAGGGGGCTGGCTGGCGAGATGGTCCCGTCCGGGCTGCGAGCTGGAAGAACTCCAAAGCTCCCCGGGGAGAGAGCCAGCGGGCCGTTCCGCAGCAGTCCTCCGAGAGGCAGGGGGGCATCGGAGAGCCGGGCACACGCAGGCTGCCTGAGGTGGCTCCACTCCCGAACACAGAGAGGGAGAGGCGCCGGCTGCTAGGCTGGCTGGCTTCTTTGGGCTTCGCTTGGCCGCGGCTTCCTGGTTCCGGTTTGCAGCAGCAGCAGCAACAGCAGCTGGTGGTGCAGGAATTGCAAAGAGAGAGGGGGGGAGAAAAACCCACAACAAGCGGGGAGTTGCAAGGGAGACCGCAACTCTTGCTGCATGCAAGCAGGTAGGGACTTGGGGGGTGGCGTTGAAAATGAGGTGGGAGTGAGTGCTGTCTTCTCGTCCGGGTTTCTTCCCAGGGGCTGGTGGCAAGGCGTTCCTGCCTTTGCGTTTGGGAAGGCACCTCTGCATCTTCTCCGGGAGAGGGGCCTCTTTTTTGGACTTTGTCCCGCGGTTGGCCAGTGAGCGGAGAGGCCGGGCAGATGTTGCGAATGGGACAGATGCGGAAGACAAGTGATTCGGGAGGGCGGCAAGAAGCGGGGCGGGGCAGAGAGGGATTCCCCCCCCCCCATTCCCCGGTTTTCAGATCCATTTGATTTTGCGTTTGGGGCTGAGAGAGTGGTGGGTGGGCAGTTCTACCGCAGAGAAGTTTGATGGGGCGGGGGGGGGGACGGTTTGGGGGTTCGGGTTTGCCCTTTCTGGATCAAGAAGGAAGAGGTGCATGTGGGAACTCCCCTTTCTCCCCGCCGGTGAAATACTTAGATTTGGAGAACATGTGTTGACTTTATGAGATGTTTGTTACCCCAGGGTAAAGACAGATGAGGATGTTGTGTTTAGAGGCACATTGCCCTTTGAATCCCAGAGCCAGGAGGCAACATCAAGGGAAGGCCTCAACCTCCATGCCCTGTTGTTGGACATCCAGAGGAACTAGTTGGCTACTGTGTGAGACAGGATGCTGGACTAGATGCACCACTGGTCTGCTCCAGCAGGTCTCTTCTTATGTTCTTACCAGTGGAAGCCCCTGGCTTCTATGCCCTGTTGTTGGCCATCCAGACGAACTGGTTGGCCACTGTGTGAGGCAGGAAGCTGGACTAGATGGACTGTTGGTCTGATCCAGCAGGGTTTTCCTCATGTTCTTATCAATGGAAGGCCTCAGCTCTCTGTGGTGTTGTTTGCCGTCCAGAGGAACTGGTTGGCCACTGTGTGAGACAGGATGCTGGACTAGATGGACCACTGGTCTGCTCCAATAGGGCTCTTATGTTCTTCTTTCAGAGGCAGTTGGGGGCAAACTTAGGTAGATTTTAACTAATGGCAAGCAAGAATGGATGATCAGAGGTTGAATTTTGACTGTCAGCATGCATCTGAAGACGGGGCAAATGTGGGCCTCTGGCAAAGACAGATGGGGTGGGGTTGGAGGACTTTGCCCCCTTGCAAAGATCTATATCTTCTGGACATCGAACAGGGGTCACTGGCGCAGTGAGGGAAGAGGTATTTGTGAATTTCATGTATTGTGCAGGGAGTTGGACTAGATGACTCTGGAGGTCCCTCCCAGCTCTATGATTCTGCGGTTCTGTGATTCTACAAGCACTTAAGGTTTTCAACCAGAGATGTCAGAAATTTGGCCCAGGGGTGGCTGGCAATTTTGCCCTGTTGCAAGGAAAAGGAAATCAAAAGGGTTGAGAGAAAGTTGGCAGAGGGCACGAAGAGGAAGGCATTTGGTACATTTTGTCCCATTTTACGGACAGAGTTGGACCCTGGCATTAACAGAAATGTGGAGGAGGAAGTAGAGATGAAGTGTTGATTCACTGCAGCTTATAGGGGTTGCTCTAGGGAGACCTATACCCCTGCTGATACCTGGAGCTGGCTTCCACACGAATACATCACAGATTCCTTGCATCTGTGAATGGACCGTCATGTTCCTAACTAACACCACAGATAGAACTCCCCATCCCAAGCACAATGTGTCTTCCATGACATGCATTCACACATTTACAGTGACCGAGCCTGCAACAAGAAATGTAGAGAAATCCAACTGCATACCTGTGCCTAGCAGGTATCCCAAAAAAGGTGGCCTATACATTTTCTAAACAAAGAAATGTGCTAACCAGCTGTTGACATCCCCGATGCATGAACTGGCGCTACTGAAAAGCATTGAGCTGACATCAGGGAGAATGAAAGTGATGCCTGTGGTGTCAGATCTATTTTTGGCTTCTTCACACGTGCAAGGCCTCCCTAAACGTTTTGCTAATTCTTCCAAATGTTTATCCTGAATCTATCTCCGAGTCAGCTGAAATCCATTTCATTTCATCTCCTTGCAGATCTCCCCCTTCTTCTTGCAGAGGTCTTGTAGAATAAACCATCAAAGTATCATCCTTCCTTTTTTTTTTTTTTAAAGTGCTCTGTAATAAACTTTTCTCTAGGCTAAATCAGCTCTCTACCCTCTCCCGTCCTTTGAACAATTTGCTTTTTTAGCAAATATCCCTCATAGTCCTCTTCTGGATTCCCCCCCCCCCCCCATGCTGTCAATGTTGTGTCTTAAGCAGCGGTGCTCAGAACTGAATGTGCTGTTATTCCAAATGGAGTCTTGCCAGTACTCGTAACTCCCCAGGACTTCAGAATAATGTTTTTGTTGGATATGTCAGAAAATTGCATTAGTCTTTTGTGTGTGTGTGTGTGTGTGTGTGTGTGTGTGTGTGTGTGTGTGTGTGGTACAAAAATCAAAGTTCTGGGGCCAGTTGCTTCCAAATTCCTGGGTCCTGTTTTCAGCTCTAGAATCAAAGTGCAGGGCTGGCATCATGGGTAGGCTTAGGTGGGCACTTGCCAGCCAGTTAGAGCATGGGTGTCAAATATGCGGCCCGGGGGCCAGATGAGGCCCCCAGAGGGCTTCTATTAGGCCCGCAGTGGAACTGGCTGTCTTCTCATTCCTCTTCCAGTTCTGCTGCTGGTACGTCATTGTAGGTTTGCAGCTTACAGATACACACCTGAACAGCATACTCAGGATTGCAACAGCACAGACATTTTGATGCAGTAATTCAGAGCAAGAGGTGTCAGTTATCAGACACTGTTAAATAAACAAAATATTGCAACAGTGCTGATGTTTTAAGCATGTTTTAATTTTAAGTAAAAGAAAACCCCTTTGTGTTTGTGTCCTTTATAAAGTTTATATCTCTGCTACCTGGCATTACATTTTATGACACACATGGCCCGGCCCAACAAGGTCTCATTTATGTCACATCCGGCCCTCATAACAAATGAGTTCGACACCCCTGAGTTAGAGCTTCCGGTGGGCCTCATCACTCAGCCTTAATCTAGGCTCGCTGAGTCACTGATGCTTTTTCTGACCTACCTCTTAGGGTTCTTCTGAGGTACTTGTTTATTTACTTCATTTGTACCCTGTTTTTCTTCTCAACAGGGACTCACACTGGGAAAGGGGGCCTGGTTAGACTCTCTCACCCTAGGACGCACAAAAATCTGGAGCTGGCCCTGCCACGATGTGCCCTCATGTTTTAGTGTCTGAATCTTGGAACAGGAAAATAATGTTTAGTAGAGACCCTGAAAGCAAGAGGAACCCCCGCTCTGCTTTCTCTGATGCTTACCTCTGTCACTATTTTATTGCAGAACCTCAGAAAAGTCAGTTATTGAACTATGGCAAAAGGTGAGGTGCAGTTTGATCAAACCCAGGGGTCATTTTGTAGAAAAAGAGGTGCAGGAGCTCATTAGCATAACTCATTAACATAACTTATTTGCATATGCCACTCCCCCTGACATCACCGGACGTGTGTCAGAACGCAACAACCACTGCTCAGGCTCCACTGGGCTGTTCTGGATTGCTAGCTATGGTGGGGGGAACGTGCAGATCTGTCCTTGCAGAGGAGGGAGAGCTTGTACTTGAATAAAACTTGTTCTTAAAGGTGCCACTGGACTGTTTTGGACTGGGGGGGGCCTCTACAACTTACCTGACTGCTTCTTGCTCTGATTGAGGGCTGCTGGGAGCAGGGGGCGGGGCTTGTTGCATGTGCCCGCCCCCTGGGCTCTTTACTTCCGGAGCACCACTCCTGTGCGCTCCTGCAGGAAATAACCCTTGATCAAATCGCTTGAGTTATGTTGATTATTTTAGGAAACATCCTTGCTCCTGTGGATGTGGCAGTTGCTGGAGATTTCCAAGCATGGGTTGCTGGAGATCTCCAGCAGTTATCCCCAGTTATCTGTTATTAACTCTCCTTTTCGGGAACTCCTCTGAACACCTTTTATGCCTTCTGCTCGTTAAAATTCTGAAATTCTGAAATATTGTCTTAAGGGCTCTCGGGATACTTAAGGTGCTCCTCAGGAGAGGCTGCCATCTTTCCCAAAGGACCCAGCCTCACTGTTTGCACAGTCCAAACTTATTAATGGGAGGATAGATCTATTGATAACTCGAAACGTCATAAAAGCTAAAATGGAACCTCCATGGTCAGAGGCAGGCTACCTTTAATTATAAACTGTATTGTGCTTGTGAGTTTCCTATTGGCTAGCCTAGCCAAGGCCATTGTGGTGTTCTTTGTCTGAGAAACGTGTTGCTTTGTCATATCCACACACAACCATATGCTGCATTCTTTTTTTAATGGAAAGCCACTAAGCTCGAGCCTATTTTTAACACCCAAGGCAGATGACTCAGTGTGAGTGGCTGTGTTTGACAGATGGTCGGCAGCGTGGAATTCTGAAAAGTGTCTGTCTCCTGAACAGGGCTTTCCCACTGCAGGTGCTTAGTCTGGTTTATGTAATTCCTGTTGTTAGGTGGTGATTCTAAAAACCTGAGTGGGGCTACTCAGTGTCAGAGATTCTCTGCTTTTAAAAAGAATGTTAAAGAAATGCAAATATGTAATCCCGTGAGAAGTGTGTCTCCGAAAGCCCCTTTGAATCGAGTGCCATCCAATATCGTAAATGCAGGTCTCATTCATTGCAAAGGTCCTGCACGAACCCCAGCAAGGCGTAGTGGGTAATGGGGTGGACTTTAGTCGCAACTGCTCCAACCCCTCAGACAGAGATACTCACTTGAAGGATCTGAGACTCCGAGTGAAGGGTGGGGTATAAATCCAATCTCCTCCTCCTCCTCCTCCTCTTTCTTCTTCTCGATATATCACATATGTTGTGATAAAATAATTTAATCCAACACATAGTGAATTAATAACAGGGATTCAATAGTATTTATAAGTATAGAAGGTACACAGTACATAATAGAGACTTCAGCTTCTATATTGTGTATTATGTACTCATCATTAGGTGGTCCTTAAATTGGTCCTTAAATTG